CCCAAAACCAGTCCGGGCCTTTGCCCGCCCCAAGGATGCTGATGGACTTGTTTCCGTCTGGTTCAAGGCCAGCAAAGGCTCTTCCTTTTCCAGCAGCCGAGCGTTTCACAGCAGGAGCATCTCCCAAGCCCCAGCACATCCCTAGGGATGGCTTTTGGGACCTCGGCACCTTGCCCAGGGCTGACCCTCCCCGCAGCCACCCCATCTCGCAGCACATCACGAGACGTCACAAACAGCCTCCAAGTCCCCTTTGCGTGAGCGCGCTCCCTGTTGACATTTTGTGAAGCCATCCCTCGAAAGAGGCACCAGAAACAAGAAAAAAACCAACGTTGCAACATCTCAAGTGGGCACTTGGGCCTTGGCTCACCTCGAGCCCAGCCGCTTGCTGCTGGGATGCTCTGGGAAGCCCGGCTGGGGTCATTTTTTTCCGGGGCAGCTTCATCTTTCTCACGGTGGAGGAGCACAGGGCAGGGACTGTTCCCACGCCCGACGTGAGGCAGCGGGAGGTGGGAGCTGGGCCCCGGGGGCTCAGGCAGCCCCAGGTGGGTCCTGGACCACCCGGGGTCTCTTTGTGAAAGCCAGCGGGGATGGGCGAGGGGGTCCCTCAAACTAAAGCCCTTTATCAAGCAGCACCTCGTAGTTGGTGGGCTTTATATGAGCTCTGTGTGGGCTGGATATAAACACAGCGTTGCTCAGCATGAAGGGAGGAGGAAGAGGAGGAGGAAGAAATCGCATCCGCTCACGCTGCAGTGCCCACAGCCTCACCTGCACACTCACGAAAGCCCAAGCAGCCTGCAGCCAGGAATACATCAATTAAGGGCTCTAATAGTTGATTAAGTTAGTTAATTAAGCTGGGAAGGGGGGAGGCAGCCGGCCAGCCCCCAGCCCCTCCGGCACGCCACGGCGCCGCCAAGCACAACAAACAAATGCAGATGTTTTCTGGCTGGGGCTGACGGAGGCAGCTCAGCAGGCAGTGGTGCTGTGGGCGTCCCTATACTGGGGTGAATATCCTGATAAAGGGGACACAAAGAAGCCAAGGGAGGGAAACTGACACCACAAAAGAGGACGCAGCGGAGGCGGTTGGGGTTCTCTCTGCTGGTCCTTTATTTCAGGTAAAGTTGGAGGCTCCCGGGACCCGGCTGGGAGCTGAGCGGTGACGCCGAGCACTAGAGAATTGCCTGTTTTTTAATGAAAGCTGAGGGAAAAATACAAACTGAGAGGAATCGGGCAATGGCCTGGCACCCGCTGCGGCCAGGGCAGGGCAGCAGGTCCCCCCCGCCTGCCCACAGGGGGCTGCAGCTGAGCCCCCCAGCCTGCACCCAAGCAGAAGATGCCAGGCATTTCGGATGGGGCTGACCCTGCGGCTGTGCACAAGCCCACGGCCCCAGAGAGGATGGCACTTGGTCCCAGAGCGGGTGGCGTTTGTCCTCCCCTCTCCTTTTGCACTTTCCGTAGGGACCCCCCAAGGGGCTCTGCTGGGGGAGTGTCAGAGCGGAGGCAGAAGCCCAGGCTCCAGGGGTCTTCTGCGGCGTTAGGTGGACTCCCACCGACCTGGGCAGAGGGGGACAGGTGTCACAGCATGGGATGTCCCCCACGCGTGGTCCATCAGCTCCCCAAGGTCCCTACTCACAGGGTGTCCCATAGAGCATCCGCATGACCTTGAGGCAGTTGTCCAGCAGCGCCTTGGGGCGCACGGCCTTCCTCCGGCTTTCGAGGCCTGCGCTGTGGACCAGCTTCACCAGGTCGGCCACCACCGCCTCCACGTCCGTCTGCGGGGACAGGTCACCAGGGCATCACCGAGGTGTCCCCCCACCCCGGGGACACCAGGGTGCAAAACTGCAGCCGCTGCATTGGCCGGGAATCGAACCCCGGCCTCCCGCGTGGCAGGCGAGAATTCTACCACTGAACCACCAATGCCAGATGTGGGGCACCCCACGGACCTGTCCCACGGCCCCACACGCAGTGGGGGGAAGGAGCAGGGACGGGTGCTGCCAGCTGTGAACTCTCCCAGAGAGAGGACCCCAACTGACAGCTCCGATGACAGCGCTGCAGCCATGGGAGCGCTTCTTCCTGCTGCCTCAGACACCACCTCCAGCAAGGGGGGATGGTGAGGGGCGCAGTCATTAGCCCTCAGAGTTAACACTCTGATGAGAAGATCAACCAAAACTGACTCTCTTCTCCGAGGGGTTGCAGAACTGCCCCACAGCAAAAGGAAAAGGCAGTCACGCTTTGTGTTCACCCGGGAGACCCAGCTGTGACAGAGCACCCCCACCCAGCACCCAAATGCAGCTTTCTCCCGGCTGCAGCAGCACAGCCCAGTCCCATTGCCCTGGGCCAGAGACCCTCACTGCCACCACACCAGGGACACTCATTGCCACTGTGAGCCAGACGACACTGCCACCCAGGGCTCCTGTCAGGGTGACACTGTCACCACCACCAAGGCTCCTGTCAG